ATATCTTCCAATTTACCTTCCTCTAGCACCCTGAAAGTACCCTAAAGTACCAATTTTTCAGGTCTTTTTCCTCTTTTGCCTGTGGCACATAGTCAACAATATTTAATTCAACTCACAAATCCCAATAGCTATTTCTCTGCAACGACCTGACTGCCTAACAGATGCTCCCCAAGCGAATTCTTAAATTTTTATAGTGAAAAACTTGGTCTTTCCACGTGCTGTACAGGACTGCAAATAGGCAGTAAAGTCGGAATTAATTGCTCATCATTTCGTGGCTTCAAGACTGTGCTTCCAAATTCGTCAATCACTTTCCCCCTCTGAGGTTGATTTTCTAAGGCGGTCTGTCCGATAAAATCACATTACTATATCCATTTTCATCTTTTTCACATACTCAAAGGTAACTAAACTAACCTTCCTTTGGGGACTCTCAATCCAATGTTTTTAGAAACATTTACATTATTTAACCAGCTTTCATTGCTTCAATTCTCAGATATTCTCCGCGGGAAAGCGTCGAAGTTATGGCTGAAGGTATTCAAAAACTCCCGCATGCCAACCATCACAGCCATTAATACGTCTGTCAATGTGCGTTTTAAAAATAAGTGATATAAATGACAGCCGCTGCAACATTCGAAAACCACTGGAGACAGAACAATGGATGTTATACCCAAATCCGCCTTTGAAGAAGTTATAGAATGAAAAAGAAGTAAGAAAATTTCCATGAATCGTTAATTTGAGCGAACCTTTGACAATAAACGGAACACTCTTCAAAATTATTTTTCTGAGGGACCGTACAACGCTCATGACAACATTTGTGTAAAATATTCAAGGTGATAATGTGAAGGCGTTTCACAGATGGGCAGTGGAAACAGAAATGTCAGCCTGCTATAGGTTCGTACGGGGCTCTTTGTAACCATGTTAGGCCAAAAAACTTGGTTCGGAAAAATTAAAGGTCTTCGGCCTCGACTTCCTTCTCTGACTTTTCGTCTTCCAGTTTGTCCTTTATGTTGTCTCCTGTGGTGTCCGGCGTACAGCACAGTAACATCACAACAGCAAAGGTAACCGCGGCGTAGACGACGACCGGAAAGCCATGCTTAAATGTCTGATCGAGTTCGTTAATGAAACTGCTTACGATACTGCCCACTCGACCCAGACCAGAGGCGTTGCCCAGCCCCTCAGTCCGAAGAGTTGCAGGATACAGTTCCGGTATATAGATAAAAATCATGTTGAACGTGGCACCTAGCAAAGCAAGGGCCAGATTGCAGCAGACAATGAGCGCCATCTCTGACGAGGGTTGCAGAATGACTGTGTAGAGGCCGCCAATGAGTAGTACGATTCCTGCCATCGAGTACAGGGCTAGCAGTGGCATACGGCGGCTACGAACACAACTGTAGAGGATCGTAGACAGGAATGTAGCAGGCAGTGATGTGCAGGCATTTATAAACGATATTAAATAAATTGAACCCCGAATGATGCGGGTATAGTAGAGAAGGCCGAAAAAGCAACACAACTGTCCAGCAAATATGCAGGTAGAAACGATGCTGCGTTTGGCAAGATCACCCGTCTGATAGGGTCCTTTGACAGCCTCCCAAGTTTTGGCACATACTGTCGTATCACAATTTTGAATACATAGCTTGCAGCGTTGAGTGATACCCTTTACCGTGGACTCATGGTAAACCGGTGTTGGATCGTGGTTTAGTTCCTCAATAAACTCACTTCTGGTCATGATTGGTCGTCGATTGCGGCCTAATAAATTGTTGATTCTGTAGGCCCTGTAGAGTGTGGAAACAGCCTCATCCAACCGATTTTGTGAGACGAGCCACCGGGGTGATTCGGGCAGAAAGTAAAGAGCAAAGACTCCGATACATGGCGGTGCGACTACAATCAGATGCAGGTATCTCCAGTTATTTATGTACATGGCCGCCAAAGCATGGACAGCACGACTTACAAAGTTAACATAGATAGCCCAAGGAGCGCCAAAAATGGACCTGTATCGGGCGTTCGTCATCTCGACTAGAAATACGCTAATTGAGGTCACTTTAATTGTGCAACTTAACGATAAAAGAGCTCGCAGGACTGTATAAGCGGCGTAATTGGGTGAAAAGGAAACCGCTAGACCGAAACCACATTCTAAAAAGGTGGCCATAAAGATGGTCTTCTTCCGTCCCAGATGATCTCCAAATACACCGCCCAACATGAAGCCTATCATCATCCCAACCATGTATACTGATGTACTGAAGGGCACTTTCCAAGCTTCCTCACACACGAGGTTCCAGTCTGCCGCAATGCCGCTTGGGTACTGGTGCTCCCATGGGTAAAACACATGTCCATACGGACAGGGTTCAGTGCTGCTGTTCCCTGAAAATAGGGCCGTCCTGTTCTTGAGGAGTTTCTGCCAATCAATCGTTCGGTTGGTCACTTGGTAACGCCGACATCCATACCGACCCTGATGTAGGCCTTCGTCATTAGGATCCTTGGGCCAAGGTCCTATTAGTGTTGCCGCTTCGTGAAAGCTTACAGCATGCTCGGCGAGGGCCTTCTCCACCGCTGGCTCCATTTTGCACCGAAAACGAGGTACGGCGTTTGCGTACACAGGAAAGGTCATGGCAGAAGACGTCGATAGACAGAAAAGAATGACAATCATGACTTGCCAGAGTCCGTGTGTCCCTACGAGTCTGTCGTAGACATCATCGAGTTGCAGTAGACTGAGGGGTTTTTGTGAAGATTGTGAGTCGGAGTCCTCTTCCTCGCCATGTGGACTTTTGAGGGATGGCTTTGGCATGGCTTTCCGCATGCTGGAGTCCAAATTGCTAACTGTGCCCCTGCTGCGCTGGAGAAGGTTTTAAACCGCCGAACGAACGCACAGTTTTGACGTTGTTCCTCGCCTATTTGCATACATTTAAATTCGCCTCCGTTAGTGATTCTGATCGGAATTACGGTAAGCATTGGTGAGAATTCAAGCCGAAGTTAAATCTTGGGTGGTTGGGGGCTGCAGTGTGAGTTGTACTAGAAAATGGGGTTGCTGCACACCAATTCAGTCTACGGTATTGTAGCCAGTTTTAACTCGCCAATACAAGCGAACGTGCGAGTCCCAGGAAGTAATTGAGAAGAAGACGAC